AAGGACCTGCTGCAGGGAAAGACAGACGGCTTACCTGAGAGAACCCTCATGACGGCCAGCTCCTGGCCCGGGCGGAAGGCGCTGTATCCCAGCTCGGCCAGAGTCTGAAACACCTCCGCAGGGGTCTCTGCCAGCGTGGAGACACACATGCATCAGCAGAGGGCTCTGCCGGCTGCAAAGCCCAGCGACACGCACAGGCAGTGAACCTGCTGCAGGGAAAGACAGACGGCTTACCTGAGAGAACCCTCATGACGGCCAGCTCCTGGCCCGGGCGGAAGGCGCTGTATCCCAGCTCGGCCAGAGTCTGAAACACCTCCGCAGGGGTCTCTGCCAGCGTGGAGACACACATGCATCAGCAGAGGGCTCTGCCGGCTGCAAAGCCCAGCGACACGCACAGGCAGTGAGCAGGCAGGGCAGGGAATGGACTCGGATCCCCGCTTTCTAGCTGCGCTCTGGGAAGGCAGGGAGGCTACTGCTTAGAGGAAGAACTGGGAGTCAGGACGCCTGGGTCTGGGAGTGATGCCCGGTCTATGGCTTAAAACAGGAGGCGTCGGGTTTTATTCACAGCCAGGGTTGTTCTCCCTGAGGGGAAAAGCGGCGAGGAGTCCTGGGGCACCTTATAGACTAACAGACGTGTTGGAGCAGAAGCTTTTGTGGGCAAAGACCCACTTGGTCGATGCATGTGATGAAGTGGGTCTTTGCCCACGAGAGCTTCTGCTCCAACACATCTGTCAGTCTAGAAGGTGCTCCAGGACTCCTTGTCGCTTTTGCAGATCCAGACTAGCACGGCTGCCCCTCTGGCTCCCTGAGGGGAACAGGCAGGGGCAGCATGTGACTCCACCGTGGCAGGGCTGCTCCTGTAGACGAGTAGCACCAGGGCCCCCGGAGAGCCATGTGCCCAGTTCAGGAAGCCAATTCTACACCCCTGGGTCGGGGCCTGCGGCAAAGGGAGGCAGGTTTGCACAAGAGAGGCCCCGTGCACCCAAGGCGGGTCCAGCGCACGCTCACCGTAATCCCAGTCACTCGCAAGAGCTGCCTTTCTTACCTCTCACCTTCCCATCCTGGCCCAGCGCATAGAGAGGCTCCATGGGTGGGGGCGGAGCAGGGGGCTCATACACAGGCCTCTGCACGTGCAGGTCAAACTCCTCCTCGCCAGCCCTCTCAGGCCTGCTTCTGCTCTCCACTGGGGATGGAAAGGAACGGGGACAAGCCAATGAAACCCCCGCCAGGGTTATACAGCACTGGCTGGGAGAAAATCCAAGGCGCTGGCCACCCTAGGTGTGGCATTTTCCCCTTGGTCAGTACAGTGCCCCAGCGCAGTATGGGGGAGGCCATGTGCGGCCGGAGCCGCCTGCACGCACAATAGCCCCAGGCTAGAAACTCTGACCCCTTCTGGCCATTAAAGACCCTTTGTGAGCTGGGATATTAACCCCAGTGCCCTGCTCAAATGCAAACCTGGGGAATTATTTTCTACCTCCCTCAATTCCCTCTGTGGGTCTAGCTAGAGGCAGGACTCTCCTTCGCTTCCTGCCCTAGCCTGTCAGGAGGTGCGGCTGTAGGCTGGTAAGCAGCTGTTATGTTCCACCCCAGAGGCAGACGCAATGATTCCCATGCAGGGTGCCTCTGTGCTCTCGCTCTTGCTGCAGTGTTTGCAGGGCGCTTTATGTAGCTCCTTTGATCCAAAAATCCTACGCACTTGTATCATTTTCAATTGCCTGGCCAGGCCTCAGCCCAGGGCAGGGATAGACAGAGCACACGGCTCTGGGGGCGATATCCTCCTGGCCACAGAGGAGTCACCCCGTCTGTCCACACTCACCAGGCTAGGCCCAGCTGCTGTGTTTGATCCCACTGATCACCAGATATCCCTGGCTGGCCTCCAGCGCTGTGTCTAGACCACACCCCTCTGTCGACAGAGGGATGTAAATGAGGCGCTTCAAAAGTGCAAATGAAGCAGGGATTTAAATATCCCGTGCTTCATTTGCATAATTGTGTCATGGCGCTCTTTCGAAAAAGCGCCATTTCGAAAGTAAAACAGCAGTCTAGACACGGTTCTTTCGAAAACGGCAGGCTTTACGGGAAAGGTTTACAGAATCTTTCGAAAAAGCCTGCCGTTTTTGAAAGAACCATGTCTAGACTGCGGTTTTACTTTCGAAATGGCGCTTTTTCGAAAGAGCGCCATGACACAATTATGCAAATGAAGCACGGGATATTTAAATCCCCGCTTCATTTGCACTTTCGAAGTGCCTCATTTACATCTCTCTCTCGACAGAGGGGTGATCTAGACACAGCGCAGGAGGCTACAGGAGTGACCAGATAATAACCCAGGCTGTGCCGTGGCTGGAAGGAGCTAGGCTTGGACTTAAGTGTCTGCAAACTCTGAAGCCATGGGGGCACCACACACAAACTCCCTCGCATGCAGCGGACCAGCTCCCATACAACACTGCGGCCTCCTGGAAAGAGGGAAAGGCTGCCTGAGATGGCTTAGTTGGGGCTGGCCCTGCGTTGGGCCAGGGGCTGGATTCGATGACTCCTGAGGTCTCTTCCAGCCCTGGGACTAGGATTCTACAAAAGGGGGGGCTTTGGCAGTGTAACAGGGCAGCTGCCCTGTACTGGCCCCTTTAAGGGCCAAACCCTGGCCTGGAGCAGGCCCGGGGAATTCAGCCCAGCTGGGCGGCGTTGGCCAATTAAGGCCCAGCTGGGAGCTATAAAGGGGAAGGGCTGCTTCAGCACAGGCAGTGTGAGCCTGGCTGCCGAGGGAGCAGGACGCTCTCTGGAGCTAGGGCAGGGCTAGAGAGTTAGGCTGGGCCAGGGCGCTCGGACCGCCAGCCGGCCAGC